GCGGGTCGACAGGATCAGGAGTCATCACCTGATAATGTTACAGGTATATTATCAGTCTCCTCATATGATGTATATGCATTGATTGATCCAGGTTCCATCTTATCGTATGTCACTCCGTTGGTTGCTAGCAAGTTTGGTATAGAACCTGAGTTTATTAAACCTTTTGAGGTGTCTACACCTGTTGGAGATCTAGTGATAGCTAGACGGGTATATAGAGATTGTATAGTAGTAGTTCTTAGTCGTTCTACAGTAGCAGACCTTATTTAGCTAGATATGGTAGAGTTTGATGTTATAATGTGTATGGATTGGTTGGCTTCTTGTTATGCTAACATTGATTGTAGTTCAAAGATGGTTCGGTTCCAGTTTCCAGGGGAGCCAGTTTTAGAGTGGAAAGGTAATACTACATCGCCGAGATGTAGGTTTATTTCTTATCTCAAGACAAGGAAGATGATCAAAAAGGACTATATTTATCACTTAGTTCGGGTACAGGATGTGAAAGCAGAGTCACCGACCCTTCAATCTATCCCGGTGGTTAATGAGTTTCCCGATGAACTTTCAGGCCTTCCGCTAGAGCGGGAGATTGAGTTTGCTATTGACACATTACCAGATACTCAACTGATATCTATTCCTCCTTATAGAATGGCACCTGCAGAGCTGAGAGAGTTGAAAGAACAACTAAGGGATTTGCTTGAAAAAGGCTTTATCAGACACAATACATCACCGTGGGGAGCACCTGTGTTATTTGTGAGAAAGAAAGATGGTTCCTTGCGGATGTGTATTGATTACAGACAATTGAATAAGGCAATGATCAAGAATACGTACCCCTTCCCGAGGATTGGTAATTTATTTGATCAGTTGAAGGGTGCCAGGTGTTTCTCAAAGATAGACTTGAGGTTGGGGTGCCATCAGGTAAGGGTTAGAGAGAAGGATATTCCGAAGACAACATTCAGGACCATATACGGGCACTTTGATTTTCGTGTTATGTCGTTCGGTTTGACCAATGCCCCAACGGTATTCATGGACTTGATGAACCGTGTGTTCAGAACCTTTCTAGATCTATTCGTGATTGTATTTATAAATGATATTTTGGTTTATTCTCGTTCAGAGCCCGAGCATGCAGATCATTTGCGTACTCTGCTCAGAGTTCTTCAAGAAAGGAGGTTGTACACAAAATTTTCTAAATGTGAATTCTGGTTGAATTCTGTAGCTTTCCTTGGACATATTATTTCAGATGAGGGTATCCGTGTTAACACACAGAAGATTGAGGCAGTGAAGACTTGGCCTAGACCCACGACACCGACGGAGGTTCGTAGCTTCTTGGGTTTGGCAAGTTATTATAGGAGATTTGTATAGGGCTTTTCTTCTCTTTCAGCACCATTGACAAAGTTGACTCAGAAGGCAACTAAGTTTTAGTGGAATGATGCTTGTGAGCGGAGTTTCCAGGCATTAAAGGACAGATTGACTTCAGCACCGGTTCTGACACTCCTAGAGGGGACCGATGGTTATGCTATTTATTGTGACGCTTCGGGCATTGGACTGGGTTGTGTACTAATGCAACATGATAAGGTTGTAGCTTATGCTTCTAGACAGCTAAGAAAACACGAGAAGAATTACCCGACCCACGATTTAGAGTTAGCCGCGGTAATTCATGCACTAAAGATGTGGAGGCACTATTTGTATGGTATTCATGTTGATATCTATACAGATCATAAGAGCCTTCAGTATGTCTTCAATCAAAAGGAATTGAATTTACGTCAGAGGCGATAGTTGGAGCTACTGAAAGACTATGATGTTGTTATTTTATACCATCCAGGGAAGGCGAATGTAGTAGCCGACGCCCTCAGCCGTAGATCTATGGGTACCCTATCATATTTATAGCCAGAGAAGAGTGATATAGCCCATGAGATTCATCAGCTAGCTAATCTTGGAGTTCGATTACTAGATTCAGGTGATACTGGAGTTACTATTCAGGACGTGGCAACATCCTCTTTAGTAACTGAAGTGATGGAACGTCAGTATGAGGATCCTATGCTAGATCATTATAGATATACAACCCCACAAAAGTAGAAGAAACCATTTGAGATTACAGGAGATGAAGTCCTCAGATATCGAGGTTGATTATGTATTCCTAATGTGGAAGGGCTGCGCCAGCAGGTTATGGGAGAAACTCACTATTCTCGTTATTTTGTTCATCCAGGAGCAACAAAAATATATCATGATATCAGGGAAATATACTGGTGGGAAAAAATGAAGAAGGATATAGTAGAGTTTGTTAATCAGTGCCCTAATTGTCAGTAGGTTAAGATTGAGCATCAGAAACCTGGTGGATTATTGTAGGCTATAGAGATTCTGACTTAGAAATAAGAGGTAATTAATATGGATTTCATCATAGGCTTATCTCGTACCCAGCGTAAGTTTGATTCTATATGGGTTATTATTGATAGACTTACAAAATCAGCCCATTTTCTGCCTGTCAGGACTACGTATTCAGCAGAGAATTATGCAAGGTTTTACATTAAGGAGATAGTACGATTTCATGGTGTCCCTATAGCTATTATCTCAGATAAAGGTTCTCAGTTTACAGCTAAATTCTGGATGTCCTTCCAAAAAGGATTGGGGACTCAAGTAAGTCTTAGTACAACATTTCATCCCCAGATAGATCAGACACTGGAGGATATGCTACGGGCTTGTGTGATAGACTTCAGGGGTAGCTGGGATGATCATCTTCCACTTATTGAATTCCCATATAATAATATCTACCATTCCAGCATTCAGATGGCTCCATACGAAGCTCTTTACGGATGGAAGTGTAGGTCACCTATCGGATGGTTCGAGGTTGGGAAAACTAAGATAGTAGGACAAGAGTTGGTACAACAATCAGTTTAGAAGATTAATCTTCTACGGGAAAGGGTATTAGAAACTCAGAGTCATCAGAAGTCCTATGTAGATAATCGACGACAAGACTTGGAGTTTCAGGTAGATGACTGGGTATTCCTAAATGTATCACCGATGAAAGGCATTATGAGAGTCAGTAAGAAAGGAAATCTTATCCCTCGATACATTGGACCTTATAAGATCATACGCAGAGTAGGCCAGGTAGCATATGAGTTAGACTTGCCTTCCAACTCGGAGTCAGTACATCCAGTCTTTTATGTGTCTATGCTTCGTAAGTGTATCGTAGATCCTTCTAGAGTCATTCCAATTGACGATGTTCAGGTCACAGAGCAACTATCATATGAGGAAGCTCCCATTTCTATAATAGATTGACAGGTTCGGAGATTGAGAACTAAAGATGTATCTTCGATTAAAGTACTTTGGAGGAACAATAATGTGGATGAGATGACTTGGGAAGCTGAAGAAGACATGAAGTCTAGGTATCCTCACTTGTTTCCGCTTCCGAAGAAGGATCAGACTGAGACACCATAACCTTAGGTTCGTATATGGTACTTGATTCTTATATTAGTTATTGTCATTGGTCGTGTGAGGCCATTGGTGTTATTGATGATTGTGGCCCTGTGTGGCTTTGTATTGTTAGGTTTTCTGTCTGACAGGTTGGTTGTGGTACCATTACAGAGGATACTCTGCCAAAATTTCTATAAATCTCTGGGAGTTCAACATTCGAGGACGAATGTTTCTAAGGAGGGAAGATTGTTACACCATGTGCGTCCCAAGGTGACGTATAATGAATATGAGACTTGTTAATCATGACTTAAATGAGTTTAAAGTCATAATATGACTATATATAATGTTTGGATAAAAAATATAAAGTTTGGAAAAAATCGAATTTAAGTTGCGGAAAAATCAACTAAGGATTTGCCTTGTAATAGAGCTTTTTGAGAAATATATTTCGTGTGCTATATGAGGTCTTTTTGGGACATATTATATACCAATTGGAAGGTCTTGGAATGTAGTTTCCAACCCACTTAATCGTTCATTCATACAATATCCGTATAAAAAGATATAAACGTCGGAAGATGGGCCAATGCGAGGGTGTCAAGTTAGTACCTCTTTGACTTTTCAAAAGATGATATATAGGTCTTAACTCGTCTCTCTCTTCATTTTTACATAGAACCTGACCAGAGAACACCATAAAATCTATCCTTGAGCTCTCTAATAGGGTTTCAAAGAATACTAACATCCCGGGTACGAAATCGAGAAGCGATAACATCAGAACGATCCCTACGACGTAAGTATCATTATACCACCTCTCTTTTATCTTTTTAGTTCGAGTTTTGTAAGGTACTTCATGGTTAAGAAATGTCTAATTTCTGTATTTAAGTGTTTAAATATCAAGGAAGGTTGAAATTGGTTTCCTAATAGTTAGAACTCACGGGACGGTGATCGGAAGCTGTGAGTTCGATTTATTTTTTACTTTTAGTGGATTGTTTTGTAGTCCACTCATGATGGCCTATTGTGCTGCTGATTTATGGAATTTGGAAGGATAAAAGGGAATAGAGAAACGCCACATGTGGTAGGGTAGTAGGTTAGTCTCTCGTCGTTGCAGTTTCAGGCTAATTGATAACTTGTTGATTGTGTGTGTTATGGTATATTTGGGGTTTTTGTTGTATAGAAGGTTCCAAATTCACTACAAAAAAACTTACATATTGTGGCGGTTATTTTTGGGTATTGCAGCGGTTTAGAACCGCCACTATACACATTAACGACGGTTTCAGACAACGCCACAATTACATCCGCCAAAAAGTTATTGCGGTGGTTTTTTGTAAACCGCCATAATTGTAAAAGTGATAAAACGACGGTTGATTCTTGCAAATTGCGGCAGTTAATAGCCGCCAGAATTATACATTAAGACATTATTTATATTGTCTAAAATGGCAATTTCAAACCGCCATAATCTCTTTTATTGCCTGCTTATTTTCTTCTAGATCTCTTTTCATTCTAGTTCAACACCCTGCCTAATTCATCAAAGCTTGTTCCAATGTTCCCAATTCGACAATCGAGACGAACATAAAAGAAATGTTTAATAACTAAACCATTCATTGTATATAAATAACTTAAGCACTTTAAAATTATATCATAAAATGTATTAAAATTTCACGTAGTACTTTACATCCACTCAATAAAAGAGAAATAACTAGAACAAATTCTAAAACAATGTTCATCGAGCACTCGCATGAATATACGGTGTTACTTCCAACTGGTGATCCTTTTTGGACTGTCAGTGATGGGACATACTTCTTATATCTTGAGCCTACAAAATTAAACAAAACAATAAGAAACAAGTAATAACAAAATTAGTCGTGGTGCATACAAAAGAGAATCTTTTTATTCTAAATTACAAGCATGTAAAAGGGTCATGGTACAAACTAATTATTCTATTCCCCAAGATGTTGAACAGGTTTTAGATGGTAGATGTACCTTATAGAATCATTAGTGTATACAGTTTCAGTTCATAAAAATGATTACCTTCAGTGCCAATGTTCAACCCCTTTACAAAAGTAGTGTAACACACAGATTATTTTGCAAAGCAAACCTTGGCAACGCCATTCTATCTGATAATGTAAGTAATCAAGTATCTGATGACATGGCCTTAGGAGTTGCAAGTGAGCTTCGATTTTCCATCTCCAACTGAATGGCGATATATTTGAGTCACATCGATTTTCTTGGTTTTCAATATCTCTTTTCTTTTCTTTCTGTCCTGAGAATGACACATCTAGTTAGACAAGAGAAGATAAGATACTAATCCAAATAGCCAATCCGCTGACAGCATTTTTCCGATTCTTAAAGCATCACCGGCACCTTCTTGCAAATAAAGGACTAAATGAAACTTACTGAATGAAAATAATTCAAATAGGTTGATCAGAATTTCCGGTCAATTCTTCTCCCTTTACATCAATTTATGGATAAGTCGTCCTTAAATTAGAGGGATCAAACAAGACTACCTTAATCGAGTTTTAAATTATACTTGATCCTAGTATATCTTGCTCTGGGTGTACATTTTCTAGAAGTAAACTAAAGTATATTTGATCCCAGTACATCTTGCTCGGGATCGGAAATGCATTTTCTTGAAGAAAAATTTACAATTTTAGGGATGAGGATATGAGCAGGTCATATAATACTATCAAAAAGGAAAAACTTTAAGGGAAAAGATTAAAAAAACTTACTTTCCAGTGATTGATCTCTTATATGGAATTATAGTCGGTGGACAGTTCATAGCCTTTGGTGTATCTTCTTTGAGTCCGCAATCAGTTGCTGTATTATTAAAGCTTGTACCTCTGCCTTCAACTGGAAGCAAAAGCTCTATTTTTCCTAGAAAAAAATCATCTTTTGAAAATCTAGGGCTGACTAATGAAGGTGGACCTATATCATCAGATATTGGCTCATCTGTCAATGAAGCTACAAGGAAAAAAAAAGTTAATTGCATTAATACTAGAGCAACAACTCTATCAAAATTTTTTGTACCAGTTAAAGCCTAAAAAAACTAACGGAAAAGAAATTAACAGAGCAAACTGCATAGTGATACTGAGTGGTTATGAGTTTATTTAGAAAGCATAGGCTAGTTCTACATCTTTTTTTGCATTACTTATCAAGAAAAAGTACTTCAAATTAATTTTTTTACAGTCAAGTTGGTAATAGATATATGTCTATGCTTCTATGAGTCTTTTTTTCCAGCTTATTATCAGTATCTATCCACATGAGAGTAAAGTTTTCCTGCACACAACATCATACAACATACCAATCATCACTACTACCACCAAGACAAGAAAGGCACAACCTATCAAACAACAACTCTAATTCACAAAATGCGAAATTTAGATTGGACAAACATGGCACAACAGAAAAGCATCGAAGCCAAATAGCAAAGTACTCTGAAAAAGTAGTAAGAAGTAGTGCTAATGCTAAATACCAAAACCATGAGACATACCCTAAATCTCAACAAATAAAATCCTACTCGACACATGACTTTTGCTTCAGTCAATCAAAACTCAACTACAAATCAAACTATTTCTTAGAGCACCAGATATATAATAAACCCTAGATCTACAATATGCATTAATAAATAAGCAGTAAATAACGAAAATGAGAGAAAAATCGAAAGGACCTTGCTGAATTTTGTTTGGAGATAGAGGTTGCTGAACTCCTAGGAAGCTTCATTGGAGACTAGCGGCTTCCAATCGAGAGCCGAGATAAGGGAGTCGCAAGCTACGACGACTAGAGATCTGCGCCATATCGATAAGAGGGAGAGGGAGAGGGAGAGAGGAAATTGCAATAATAGGGTTTATTTGGGAGGAGTGAGGGAGAAATGAGAGAGGGAGTTCTAATTTTTGGTCCGAGCGGTGGAGGGAGTCTAAAAAATTTGTTGGGAGGAACTTTTTGGTCTGAGCAAGTTGACGAAAATACTTTTAAAATAATAATTAACAGTAGCGGCGGTTTGCCACCGCCGTAATCAATATCAACCGACGTTATTTAAAAGCTTAATGTGGCGTGTCTAAAAACGCCATACTATGTTTCATATTGTGGCGGTTTACAACAACCGACGTAATAAAACCGCCATAAAATCTCCGGTTTTTTGTAGTGATTGTAATTAGGTTAGTTTTGAGTTGCTGATTGTATTGTGTTTGTATATCTCCTATAGTAGGCTTGATGGAGCAGTAAAATCAGGGGAAATGCTGTCCATTTTTATTTTAAAATCGAGTTATCGTTTGAGATACGTAATATACTAGCACCATCTAAGTCGTACATGTATTTCTTTGTTATAGGATTGGCGCGCTAGTTATCATAAGCTTGTTGTTGAGTTGAATTGACGACTTGAGGTATGTTAAGGCTATTCCTTCCTTCCTTTTGGCATGATCCATATGATACAATGAAACGAGCAAGCACCCAACTTTCATAAATAATTCTATTCTTAGAGGTACTAGGGTTGCCTATGTTCTGGATTCCCCATATGTCCTACTATCATATCGTCTATCATGGGTCTCATTACATTCTGAGAGATCTTATTGACTTACTTCATTATGCATTGCATCCATTTATACATGTATACTGACCCATGACCAGATGACGTTATATACACTTATAGTATATGTATATGGGGTATGGGAAAAGGTTATGGCGTTATATACGCACTACCACCTGATCAGATGGTATACGCACTGACACTCGTCACCTCATATGTGCGTAGCTCCCACAACATGTAGCATGTAATAAGTAACACCCACGGGGTAAATTCTCCCTCACAAGGTTCGACATGAGACTTACCTCGCTTCGAATTCCATAACCGGCTCCAATGCCTCTCTAACACCTCAGACCAATGCCCATTGATCTGAAACTAGTCAAATAATCATGAAAACCAATAACAATATACTCTAACACTCATAATAAATTAATTTATAATAATTTCTAACTCCGCTTGAAAAGTCAACAAAGTCAACCCTCGGGCCCACGTGCCCGAATTTCGAAAATATTCGAGGATAAACATTACTCATAATATCACAAACTCAAATATATAATTTATTCCTAATTCCATGTCCAATTTCGTGGTCAAAATCCAAAAAATATAAAATTCTAGATTTTCTTCCAAAATCCCACAATTTCTGCAAATTTTCATGTTTGAATCCATATATAACTCATGTATTTAACTTAATACAAGTAGGAATAACTTACCTCATAATAGATGATGAAATCCCCCCTCCAAGAGATCCAAAAATCACCCAACCAAGTGAAAATGTGAGAGGAATAAACCAAATCCCGTATAAAAAATCAAGTCTGCCCAGGTCCTTCCTCTTCGCGATCACAAAGGCCAAGCCAGCCTTGCCCCAGATTTATTCTACACGAACGCGATAGATGCAACACGACCGCGAACGTTTTCTTGAACAACCTTTGCGTACACCAGCCTAGATCTGAGAACGCGAAGGCCAATCCTTCATGCCTCAGACCAACACCCTACGCGATTGCAAACCAATCCTCGCGATCGCGAAGAACAACCTTACAAACGTAGGCCACCTCGCTAACACTTTGCGTTTGCGGCTCCTTCCATGCGAACGCAATGAACCAACTGACCAAACACCGAGATCGCGAGCCACCATACGCGATTGCGAAGAACAACTTCACCCAGCTCCCAATAAACACTACGCGATCGTGAGCCTTTTATCGCAATAGCGATGAACAAATCTGACACCAAAAACTAGCAGTTACAAGACATGATGAAAAGGTCCGTATCCACCCCGAATCACACCCGAGGCCCCCGGGACCCCGTCCAATCACGCCAACAAGTCCCAATACCTTAACCAAACATATTCACAGGATCGAAATGCCACGAATAACATCAAAACCATAAATCGCCGATAAAAATCGTTCTTTCAATTTTAAAACATTCAAACTTCGACGAATGCGTCAAAATCATACCTATACATTTCGAAATGACGCCAATCTTTGCATACAAGTAAAGAATCACTATACAAACCTATTCCAAGGCCCAAAATTCCAAACGGACATTAACAACACCAATTCCCTCTTCAAACCAAACTTAGAAAATAAAAACCTTCAAAATGCCAACTTTCCACAATAAGTGCAGAAATACTCACGGACCACCCGATACTCAACCCAAACATATGTATAAGTCCAAAATCTTTATATAAATCTATTGGAACCTTCAGATCCCGATTTTGAAGTCGTTTACTCAAAATTCAAACCTTGATCAACTCTTCCAACTTAGAGCTTCCGAATTGAGAATTTCCCTTCCTAATCAACTCCGAAGTTTCCAAAATTTAATTCCAAACTCACGTACAAGTCATAGTACATAAAGTGAAGCTACTCAAGGCCTCGAACTACTGAACGATGTGCTAGAACTCAAAACTATAGATCGAGTCGTTACAATGTCATTTATGACTTGTGTGTAAAATTTAAGGTCAGTCATAGTTGGTTTGATAGGCTTCGGCATCGATTGCAGAAGTTGGAAATACATTAGTTTCATTAGACTTGAATTAAGGTGTGATTCATGTTTTTGATGTTGTTTGTTGTGATTTGGGGCCTCGACTAAGTTCGTATGATGTATTAGGTTGTGTTGGAATGTTTGGATGGGGTCCCGGGGGCCTCGGGTGAGATTCAAATTGATTATGGATTGAGTTTGGCCTTGTTGTGCTGCAAAATATCTGGTGTCTGGTTTCCTTGTTTGCGTTCGCGAGAGAGGTCTCGTATTCACGAAGAGTATCTGGGTGACTAATGTAGTTTTTTCATCGCGTTCAAGAAGAAGGCCATGCGTTCACGAAGGTACATGGGATTTGAATATCGTGATTGCGAGTGAGGACTCGTGTTCACATAGAAAGATGAGGCAGGTGGGGCACCAAGCTTGTAAGCCTTCGCATTTGCGGGAGTTGGTTCATGTTCGCGTAGGCATGTGTTCATTGGTCACCACGATCGCGAGAGAGGTCTCGCGTTCACGTACGAGGAATTTGGGCAGTTGAAATTTTGTGCTTCGCAAACGCGAGGCACTTTCCGCATTCGCAAAGAAGGATATCTAGGCAACAGTATATTATTTCAAAATCGAGTGTTTTGACACATTTTTCATATTTTGAGCTAGAAACCTCGATTTTGGGCGATTCTTGAAGGGATTTTCAAGGAGTTAATTGGGGTAAGTGATTTTAACTCGGATTTGATTAATATACATGAATCTATCATTGTTTTACCATTTAATTAGTGTTTTGGGTTGGAAAATTTGGGAAAATTTCATAAGCTATATTTTGTGTATTTGAAAGGTGATTTGAGGTTGAAATTAGATAATTTTGGTATGGTTGGACTTGCTATTGAATGGGTGTTTGAATTTTATAAATTTTGTCGGGTTCTGAGACGTGGGCCTGAGTTTGACTTTTTGACTTCGGTTAAAGAACTTAGCTTTATCGTATGGAATTGATTCATATAGCTTCTATTGATTGTATTAAGTTGTTTGTGGCTAGATTCGAGTCGTTCAGAAGCCGATTCGCGAGGCAAGGGCTTGTTGGAGTTATGATTTGCGCGATTTAAGGTAAGTAATAATTCTAAACTTAGTAGTGGGGGTAGGAATCCCTAGATTTCGTGTTATATGATTGGTATTGAGTTGACACATATGCTAGGTGACGGGTGTCTGGGAGTGCACAATGGTAATTATGACTCGGTTGATTCCGTGGTACTGTGTAGTTGTCAAATCTTATTATTATTCATGTAATACCTAAGTGTTAGAGTAATTAAGATGCGATCCATGTTAAAAGTCATACTTATTCTGTTAGATCCACTGAGGTCATTTATGCTGTTGAGTTATTTGCTTAAATTATAATTTTGTACTCAGTCACATTCATCATTTGCAAATCATAACTCAGTCTCTGTTATCATTTGTTGTTACATCATGTATCATTGTTTGGGCTGATTGGCATAATATTTGTGAATCCGAGAGACTGGAGAGATTGATGACTGAGTTGAGGTCGAGGGCCTGGTTGTGATTGATATTTATGGGATTGGGTTGCAAGCCGCAGAAGAATTTATTGATTTATTATGGGATCGGTATGCATGCCGCAACATGCCATATTGTCTTATATTAGCGTTTGGGCAGGATCTGCCCCTCTGGAGTCTGACATACCAGCAGTGAGTGCAGGTACCGTTGAGTGATGAGTGCGAGTGCCGAGCGATTGAGCGTGCTGAGTGAGGTTGAATAATCCGAGAGTGTGAGTATATGAGTTTATCACAGTATTGCATCACATGTGCATGCATATTTAACATGTAGACATAGAGATGTAACCTTCCTTATGCTAGTTATATTTGGCATATTTTAATAGTATTGAGCTTAAACTGTTGAACTTGAAAGCATGTCTACATTTCTATACTGTGTACAAATTGATTATGAGATTTCTCTGAGTTATTACTGTCATTCCCTGTTATGTCCGTATTGTTATTATCTAGATTTGGATTGTACCTTTCTGAGCTCGTCACTTCTTTTAACCCAAGGTTAGTCTTGTTACTTATTGAATACATTGGGTCGGTTGTACTCGTACCACTCTACACTTCGTGTTTAGATCCAGGTACATCTAGACCCAATGGTTGCTAGACTTGGAGCATTACCTGCTTGGAGACTATTGAGGTAGCTGCTATGGCGTCCGCAGACCTCGACTCTCCTTCTTTTCAGTTTATTTAGCATTGTTCTATCTTTCCAGACAGTTGTATTAGAAGTTCTGATTGTGTTGACATTTAGTAGCCCATGTACTCGGTGACAACCGAATTTTTGAGGATTTTGTACTTGAGTCACAATTATTCTTATCGGTTATTTATGAGATTTTTTACTGTTAAGCTTATTATATCATGTTTTTAATTTAAAATGTATAGTTATTTGTGATTGTCGACTTGCCTAGAACT